GCATTAACCCGAAATTGCCAAAAAATTTCAGCACTGTTGCGGAGTTACATCAAATTTCACCTGTTCCTATCTGAGGGGAAAAATGAATGCTGTTTTCGCGCTTGCTTGATGAAACATGATCCTAGGCCAGTCTCAGAAAATTCAGCACTCTAACTGCTCTGGTTGCGGAGTTACGTCAAATTTTACGTTTGCATACGTGAAACATGGGGGGGAGGTAGGGGCGTGAAAGTTGTTTTGACGATCACATGGTCAAACGTCGCAATTGGTTATGTTTAGGAAGTTCCAACCTTCTAGCTGCTTCGGTTCTGAAGTCACAAAATTGCCTATGTGAAATTTTCACGTATCCGTACGTGAGATGCAGACAGGCTGGAAAACTCAATTTACTTTCACGGGCACATCAGCGGGCGTCAAGTAGCGCTGCAAGATTATGGCCCCCTACAACTTTTTGCTCAGCTTAAATCTGGAGTTGGCATGGTGCCAGCTTAAAATTTGACGTGCCCGTACATGAGACCTGAGGATGCGTGAAGACTGAATTCGTTGGATTAGACATGGCCGAGATCTCCGCAGCCGCCTAGCTTGCGCCATTCTCGAAATTGCTCCTCCACCAAAAAAAAAAAACGAAAGAACTTCCATGTGCCGTGCGAGAGAACCACGAGGGCGTGAGCGTCCATTTTGAAGATAGAATCCTTACGTATGTGTAGATTAGGTTGTCGAAGTCAGCCTTGTAGCTTTTGTAGATCACAAGATGAAAACTCGGTACAGACACACATACTGATAACCTCTCGACAGTATGCGTTTTTGCATTGCATAGATGCAAAAAAAAGCATAAAAATCGATATGATTAAGTGTTCTCAGCAGCATATTGTAAGACAGTTCATGCTATAAATTCGAAGAGTACGATATTGTGATTTTTCTGAATGTATTTCTACTTAGTTTGATTTTTCACAATAAATCTAGAATTTTAAAGTTTCTTAAATTTTTTTTTTAAATATGCGGCGAAACGCTTTAATGGTGCGACATCTGCTCGAAGCAGTATTTAGCATGCGCTTTTATGGAGGGTCCTTTTTGTTCTTTCAGTCAAATTTGTGTTTATGCGCGACTTCTGATTTTTGAATTTTTTACTTTTGGAGTTTCAGATCGAGCGAAATTTTTGATAGAATGAGTGAAGAAGGCGAGAAAGAAGGAAGCGGTGACAAGAGGAAGCGCTTGCCCGGAAACGAACAAACAACAGAAGCAACGAAAGATGACAATGTGAAGCAGACATCGTCGACCATCAGAATCAAAAAAACGGGTAGAAGAAGAACTTCTAAGTTA